ACATAATTCTAGAAAAAATCCTACTGTACATGTTATTTGAAAATAAAAATGTGTTCCTTCTTTTTAGAAATATTTGTTGCTTTCTTCCTCTAATTACAAGAGTAAGACATTCTCAATGCAGAAACCTAGAAATCACAGAAAATTAAAAAAAAAAATCATCCACATTCCATCACCAGATTACAATTATTAATAACGTAGCTTCATACATACAATGCAATGTTCATTTATTTGTAATCTCTTCATCAAAATAACACAGCAATGCACCACTCTCACCCACCTCCCATGGCTTCCCTCTTAGGTTTATACTGCCAGGGGCCAGGGACTCCCTGGCAATCCTGGCCTCCAGGTCCTAGGATGAGCCAACTCAAAAGGACCCTCCCACATAGCCAACGCTCAATAATAACTGAATCTCACACTTTCCAATAAGGAGCCAAAAGGACGAATGGACCAGCTCTCATTTGTCAAATGGTGGGTGGCAGCATTTTGTTTCTCAGCTTGGCCACAAACAGAAGTATGCACTAGAAGCAAAACAAAACCAAATCTGACCGTTATGTATGGTGATAAGTAGTTTATAGATATGCATAGCTCAATCCACAGAAAAGACCAATGGCAACAATTTTCTAATAGTACCTAACACGGTAACTAGAATCTTATCATCCAGGCAATAAACTCCACTAACACTCTCGGGAATATAGACACTGAAGCTCAAATTGACAGTCTTGAAAGTAAGGCTGGGTAGCTGTCTACCCAGATCAGATGTGTCAGACCCATTATGGTTTCTAAAAAGCACAAGACAAGCCAAAAGTCGAGACCAAATATCTGCATAGCTACAAGGCCTTGAATCAAATTTTAAAACAATCCATTTAGGAAAAAGAACGATAAATAAAATCCTGTTTATCTCTGTCCCTAGAGCCAGCTGGGGGAGTTACTTCTCCCCTAAGAGAAGTGAGCTGACTTCTGTGCTCCCAACACCATGGCCAACACACAGCCCAGGAGGCACCTGGGCCTGTCGTCCAGACCCAGCCTCTTGTGAGAAGCTCTAATAGGGCTTTGGAAAGCCAGACCCAAAGCTTCCTAGCTTCTTCCCTACACTGTGAAGTGGCGGGGTTGCATCTAAATGGTCATAAGGCCGTGTGTTGATTATCGCTGTCCCCAGTGCTTCATTCCTCACTCATTCCAATCTCCCTGGTGAGCCTTGTTATCCAAGAGTCTCACGTGATCCCCACACCCAGAGCACCTACCACTGCAGGCCTTCCCCACTCTCCTTCACTAGCATCAAAGTCTCTCCAACTCCCATCCTCACAGCTGCCCCATAACCCATCCCCCAGTCATGTGATGGCCTGCTCCGTGGAGGGGACTGAGCTGTTCACACATTACTGTTCCCAGGTAACAGGACTGCATTTCAACTGGGTCCGTCTGAAGGCAATGCTGCACTCCAAACATATGCCTCCATCAGAAGCCACATGCCCTGAGCCTGGCTATTGGGTCTCCGGTTGGGACATGCCAGCTGGGGGGACCCTTGGCACATACTGTGTAGGGACCACCTCCATGCCTGAGTCCAACCTAATTCCAAGGATTTGGGGGAAGAGGGGAAAGACAGAGGGCACCTCTCCATTCCTCTCAGCCCCTCTCCGTGGGGGTGCAGAGCAAGCTCACTCTGTTCAGCCTAGCCGCAGCACCAGCTGGAAAGCTTGCCAGATCTTTCTCTATCCCCCATGCCACCTCCTCCTCTCACCTAAAATGGGAGGAGAGAGGGGGAGGAAATGCTGCCTCTTCCTCCTGTGCTGAATTTATCCCAACTGCAGAAGCTGGGAAGGAGATAAATAGAGCACTCTTGTGATAATTTTTCAAAATCCCCCAGTGTTCTCCAGCCCACTCTGTTTTCTTCCTACCTTCGTTGGGGGAAGGAACTCTGCTTCTGCTGCTCCGTCCTGCATTCGAAAGGCTGTCTCCTTGCTCACAGGAGTTCTCCTGCTCCCCATGGGAGCTTTAGGCCCCAGTTGCAGCTTTGTGTCACATATGGGGATGGAGAATTTTGACAGGTGCTTAGCATTTCCTAACCAGTGCTCACTTTTGTCTTGGCCCCTGGAGGCACACCTTGTCTTGTGGTGCTCCGCTTTGTTGCGCTCACAGGTGTTATTTTATTTTTACAGATTGAGGGCAAGACCCTCCATCAGCAAAAAAATTACAACTCGCTTTACTGTGATACTTGCTTTATTTCGGTGGTCTGGACTCAAGCCCACAGGATCTCTGAGGCATGCCGTAGTTGACCACTAGTCCCGCCCCGCCTCCTGGAAACTTTATCCGGAGCAATGGCACATTTGATTTGGCCTCATACCCCGCTCTGTCATGATGGAGGTTCCAAGGAGAGATATAAAAATGGTGACAGACTGAGAAAGAGAAGGGAAGGACCTGGATACCCACTAAGTGGACTATCGGGCTTGAACTGAAGGTGACTGAGAAGAGGAACAGGAGAGGACAACCTCCAAGGATCAGGGTGTCATCTTTCATCTCCACGAAAGCTCATGGACTATAAAAAAGCAATTAGTGGTTTCCCTTCCCTTCTGGAAAGTGGGAGAAATGGCATCAGCCCTCAGGATGTAAACATAAACATACAGGTTTATGTTTACCTTGCGGTGGGGCACAGGCATGTGGTCGGCCTTGACCCTTTAGGGGCTCCCCCTGGACCTGAGTGAGGAGTCAGAGCTGTGGCGAGGCAGGAACCACGAAGGAGAATTGTGGCGGAGGGCTGGGGTCCTTTGTCCACAGGACCCCAAGACAGCAGCCAGGTCCAGCCCCAGTGGCACCTGGAGCAGCTGCGATGTCCAGCGATTCCCAGCAAGGGTTGCAAAGTCCCCACAGGTCTGGGTTCTGGTATGATTTTGCCTGTAGGCCTGGCTGTGGCAGAACTCACGCCTCTCTCTTCCCAAGCTTGCTCTCCAGGCCTCCTGTAATTCTGAACCATCTCATCGCCATTCAACACATCCCTTTTCTGTTCCAATCAGCAATGTTAGCTTCTGTTGCTTACAGGTGAGGTCTCCAGCTGATTCCCTAAGGCCTCTGGCCCCTGATTCCGGAGACTTCCACCTTACTGCTTTCCAAATGCTTTCTGCCTGCCGAACACCCCACATATCAAATGAAAAGAAGAAATGCCTTGCAACCTGGCAGCAGACCTGCCACCTGGCCCCAGAGCCGGGCTTCCTCCTGCTGTGGGCTTTTCCCACAGGTTACTGTGGACTGAGGAGTAACATGTCATATGGGCAGCTGAGGACACTGGAATCAACAAGGCCACCAATCGGAGTGAAGCGTGATATCCTGAGAAGCCCCCGTACCAGACTACTGCATGGCTTCTGACCAGCTGATTCAAGCCCTGCTGTTCTAGTTACAAGGTTATCTCTAAATGGGACTTTTAATCCAAAAAGCAAGGTGCCCAGAGCCTAGAGTGCCTCTTCCAGCGTAACAGTCCGCACTGCAATGATTAATAATCACCATAATCCCATTATAATAACAATGTGAAAACTAGGCAAGTGTGCTTGCCCATTTGCATTGGTATTTTTCACTCTGCACATGCTTTCAGTACCTGCCTGGCAGCATTAATTGTTTCAACTGTGGTACAGGTGGGCAGAGCGTCCCTCCGTGCCCTTGAAATGGCTGGTGTGCTTCTGCTCTCAGGAGAGTCAGGACGTATGATTCGTTAGTCTTTGGGAGGAAAGTCAGATAACAAGAAACAAAGAGTTTCTAAATCCACTCAGATTTGTGGGGAGGGAGTTGTGGAGGGGATCAACGGGCTGTACTTGAATTAACACCTGGATGACTTCCCCTGAATATCTCTGGCCTCAGAATAAAACTGGGATGCTCCCAGCCCAGAGGCCTCGAGCAGACAGAAGCTGGTCTCTAATTGTTCATTCTCGAAGGCTGTGTAATTCACCCAAAAAGGGGGACTCTGAAATCAGTGGAACATGTGGGCTCTTCGAGAATCCGGTCCCCTGTGGTCCTGGGGTCCCACCTTCCTGATGACATCCAGATGTGTCCTCATTCCATGGGTCTGATTAGCTGTAGAACGTGCTATTTCCATGTTCCCAGGACTCATCTGAGTTCACTCTGCTGCTAATTGGGTTTGTATCTGGCAGTGGTGACATCGAAAAAAGGTTTTGTAGTCAATTATGTTCTCCTGGAACACACAGGAAAGGGTTGTCCTGTCAATGCCAAGGTAGTCTCTACCTTAATGAACTGCCCCAGACAAAGGCACAAAAGGACATTATGGTCCCTGAGTACCTGTCTTTACTGGCTTCTGTTGAACAAGCAGTTGCGTTCTATCCAGGCAGCGCACAAGCTGGCTTTCCTGAACTTTCCATTCGCCTGCTTTCCGAGGAACACACGTGAATGTGATAAGGTGTGTTAGAGCCACTTCAAAAAATCATCCCCAAGGAAATGAAATGCACAAATGCTCTTCCTGCGACCTAATGACCGAGGGCTTTAACGGCGGCAAAGCCAGGAAATGGACGCTTACCGTCCATACTGCCCCCATAACCCAGCCACATGGCACACACCTGCGGGAAGAGAAATGCAATTCTTCCCGCAAGGCTTTTTTCGGGTCCAGAACAAATCGTCCTTCAAATGCTTTAACATCCTGTGCGTGGGTGGACGTGATGCTTACTTCTGTCTTATGGAAAAGCTGGCATGTTTATAGAAGGAGCATCTGGCTGACGAGGGTGGTTGCAGGAAGGGCTGACGGTCACTCAGGGAAAGCAGCAAGGCCTTGGCTGCTTTTTTCTCTTTGGGTCTTGATGGGTCAAGTTTTGCCACATTTTTAGAATACTGGGGGTTTCCAAACCTCTGCCCGAGGACCGGGAGGCACTTCCTGTTCACAGGGAAATGGAAATGCAAAGCTCCACATTGACTCCTCAGAAACAGGCGACCAAGTCCTGGGAGTGTCCTGGGAGGAAGTGGACTCTCGCTGGAGCATGCAGCTCCCCCTGGGCAGTGGGGAGCCCCAGTGAGTGGCCTTCTGAGGAGGTGGCTTCAGTCACAGGCAGTGGTGGGAGTGAGCAAGTCTGCAGCCAGGCCACGTGAGTAGGGGTGCCATGCAGGGTGGGCAGCGCCCAGCGTGAGCCGTGCCAGGCCCGCCCAGGCCTGAGGTCAGCCTGCACTGTGTTTGTCTCCAGGATCCCATGACCAGGCTATAAATGTGATACAATGTGGTCCAGCCACTCCTGCCATGGGAACTGGAGCTGCACATTTCCTGCCTTTCATCTTGGTGTGTTGGGGATGAGTACGTCAAAATAAGCAAACCGCAGCACCGTCACTGGGGCCAGAGGCAGGGCTGTGACTCTGGGGGTACAGGGAGGGTTCCGACTGAGCCATGTGGAGCAGCCTTGGCTGGCAGCAGAGAAGAGCCTGGGGCGTGTTGTAGCAGGCACCATCTGCCTGTGCCAGGCCAAGCAAGTCCTTCTGCTGGCCGGGGGCAGGGATGTTACTCAGACGAGGTGCACAGCCTGAGTGGGGACATATGCTGCGGTTGACCGAGCCAGATTGCTAATTCTGGGTTATTTCTGGGCGATGCTGGGAAAGCTTCACTGAGGAATTTTATCATTAGCTGGAGAGCATCAGGCCCTCGCTTGATCTCTTGCCAGAATGGATTTTTGGAGAAAAGCCTGGCTTTGAAAAGGCAAATTCAAAGAGCATACAGGCAGACCATGAACACACCAAGCTAACTTTGGGGGGATGAAACTGATTTTCTCAAGTTCAGGACACAGTAAATACAGAGATGGTCACAGGTCCCCGTGGAGTCCAGCACTGCCTGGCTTGCAGAGTTTTCTCCTTAATCCCAGTTTGCTTTCTCTCTTCAGCTCCCCACTCCCATTCCACATCTTCTCCCTATGCCCACAACAGGCAGCCAGGTTTTACCTGCAGCTTCTCACCCTTGAAGACATAGATCTTTCTCCCTGAGACCAGGTCCCATATAATGATTGAGGCCACGTTCCCGGGAATCCCCCTGGTATGGCTCCCTTGGGTCTCTGACAAGAACGTCTCACTCCCAAAGCCTGCTTCCCAGTTCTTCCTTAGAATTCACCCAACCCAATGCCCTTGTTGTCACTTTCTTAGCTCAATTCTTCTGATGCTTTTTTTGTCCTTCCTCAGCCAAATGGGAGAAGGGAGATGATCTGCTTCCATCTCAGGGATGAATTTCCACCTGCAAAGTAGCAGTCTTCATGCATATGGTGCAAGAGAGAGCTCTGGTTTAGGGGGAAATGGGATATACACACCCTGTGTGGCTGGAGGGTGTGGGTGCTTGTCACAGAGCCAGACCCTGGAAACACGTTCTTAACATGACATTCTGGTAAATGCACAAGATTCTCCTTAACCAACATGTGAATTAGCCGTCAGAATAGAAGTGAACACAGAAGTACAATTCTCCAAATTTGCCAATTATTCTTCCTAGGAAACACAAGACAAAGATTAGTCTTTGGAAAATTATATCTTTAAGAGGCCTAGCTTGAGGGGCGCTCTGAGAGGGGACAGACCCTTCAAACTTAATCCAGAATTAATTGAATTGAGCCTAGAACTGGCTTGACTGAAACCAAAGACTCACATTCTGATACCAAATTAGTGACTCCTAGGGGCATTTCTGCACTCCCCCCCCCCAATATATCATGAAAGGCCTCAGGGCAGGAGAAAGGAGGAGAAGGCCAGGTAATAGGACAGCAGTTGTTTGTCCAGGACAAGGACGCCCCAGTCATCCTCGGACCCCTCCGTCCAGTGACAGTGTCCTGCTCAGAAAGGCTTCTCATGCCAGCCTGGGCTCCCTGAGTATCCGTCATTTTCCCCTCAAGAGGCTGGAGCCGAGGCTATGTGTGCTGCTGCTGTGCAAGTCACCACAGAGAAAACGAAATGGCCCCTGGACCCTACCTCACGCTCTCTGAGCTCAGGTTCCCCCTCACCAGCCAAAGCTGTCTTTATCTTTCCCGAAATGAAAACCAAGCAACATCAAGTTGCATTTCACCAAAATAACTTCAAATACTCCTGAAAAAATTTTACAGAAAAAACAGAGAAAAGGAACAGTCTACACAAAATTGTAGACCATATTGTGAACCTATTAAAGAAGAGAGCTGGTTTTATTCCTCTGACATTTTGCACAGATTGGGAGGAGGGAAGAAAGGCATTGCATCGTGTTCAGTTAGGAGGCCAGATATCTGGAACTGCGTGGAATTTCCCAATTCCAGCAGGACGCATGCCCTCTAAAGAGCATTGTCTCCAATTTGGGGGTAGGACTTCACATGTGGGCCGTCTCCTTCACTTTGCAGAAATGTCCCTCAGAGTTTCGCTTCTCACCTGGGTCTGCTGGTAGCACTCTAACGGCACAGGAGGATGAATGCATTCCCAAGGGGCCCAGGGACTGATCACGCAGGCCACAAACAGCACCCATCTTCTCTCAGGCCTTGTATCTTAGATGTTCGTGTAAATTTTGCATTCATATTTATTTTCACAAAAAAACCAGGCTTGAAATTCTTCATTGGTTGAACCCAGTCTGTAGTCCTGGGAATGGCCAACATAAAGAGGGGAACTGGGAGCCTGGACCAGGGCCAAGGGTGGAAGCTGTCTCGCAGGATAGGACTGGACCTGAGCAAGGCTGATGAGGAGCGGGGGGTACCGTCAGGGGGTGCTATAGAGTGGTCCCCATCAGAGGTGGGGACTTGAGCGCCAGGAGTTGGGAGGTGCCATGGCCAGGTGTAGGAGAGCAAAGGGGACAGTTCTTGGAGGATAACCTTGTGCCTCAGGGATCCTACCCAATGCAGGCTTAGCTGGGGTGGGAGGGAACTTCCTTAATGGCTCTGCCCACACTCAACTGGTCCAGAGTTTTCAGGATCTCACCGAACAGGATGGGTCCTCTCCCCTTGGGTTGGAGGTTTCTTTTCGTTCCAATAGTCCTTAGAGGACTTTGACAGGAGATAGGAACAGCAGGCTTCGGGCTACCTTACCTGGAGGCCAGGTGAGGCTATGTCCCATCACTCTCCCAGGAGGGATGTCATCATATTTTCTTCTCAGCATCACCAGTTTGTTTCTGGCTGGAACTCTGACAGCTAAATAGACACACTTCTTAGTTTATAAGTTGTTAGTTTATCATTGTTTTAGTCAACATTTGATTTATAGTCATAACATAGTGCATAATTTTGCTTGCTTCACAGCAAATTAAATAAAGAATTTTAGCAGGAAAGTGGGCTGGGGGATGTAGAAAAGAGTAAAAGGGGTCAAATATATGGTGATGAAAGGCGATTTGACTTTGGGTGGTGAACACATGCAACATACAGATGATGTATTATAGAAATGTACACTTGAAACCTATGTAATTTTATTAACCAATGTCACCCCAATGAATTTAGAAAAGAATTAAAGCACATTAAATAAATGGTTAAATTGATTAATTTTGTCTCCAAGTCTTCAAGTAAAATCAAAGCTCCAGGCAAATGCATCGTGTCTACCCAGGAGCTCCAGACCCCCCCAGGAACTGCCAATGTGCCCAGGGTTGTGATAAAACTAAGTTGGTGCTACTGATGCATTGAGTCAGGGCACACAAAGGGACACATAGATATTGGCAATTTAAATAGCACCAATCATGGCCATAGAATAAACTAATGTACTTAACATTAGTATGACAAATGAAATCCTGCTTGAATAAAATTTAGCCTTCACTAGCCAATTGTTAAAAGTCTAGCTAGATAATTATGGAGCTGACATACATGTTTTAATTTGTTGTAAGACCGCTATAACAAAAAGAGAAGGTAAATGTCCACAAATATTCAAGCGCATCTCAACTCTTCCACTGAACTGCAGAATACTAAATAATTCTGTGCAGTAGCATACAAGGCCCATCCTCATAATCTGTCATTAGCTAAGAGGTCCTGAGACCAAATTATGGAGTACTTTAGAAAATGATGGAAATGAGACTGTAGACAAGATCACAGCTGATCACTGCACTTGGGAAATTTACCATGCATATCTCAGGCTTTCACTAGAGAAACTCGCTCATGCATTTATGACTTTATAGGTTTGGGGCCTAAACTATAGCATGCTTGACTTAGTCTCACGTGTAAAATCCTTGTAGGATATTCCATTGATGTATCAGAAACCCTTACTGAATCCTCTTTGATCTTTGCCAGGTTTTTTTTTTTTACCCAAAAGGATTCAGAAGTCTTTTCTCACTTTGGAAAAGACCAAGGGCTGGCCTCAGTATTACTAGCTTTTTGAAATTTGGTCACTTTTCAGCCAAAGGTACTTGGGAGTCTTTGTTAGAAACATGCACAAATGGTTAGGTGACAACGAACACCCTTGTCTTAAAGGACAAGGGAGGGGAGAGGGGAGACTCTATGAAAAAGCTCCGACAGTATTTTTTAATCTCTTGTACTGTCTGCTTTATAATATTCTGAGAGCCCTGACAAGCTTTTCTCTTTGGCAGTTTTTTAGGTGAAATGATTATTGCTCATCATTTTTCACTGTGTAATGAATACAATAACTATCCAACTAGACATGAGGTTTCAAAGGCTCAGTACAGTTGCTGATTTCTCTGCATTTCTTGCACCAATGCAATTAATTCTATTGAAAGATAATAGAAAAATTCCATTGTAAAAAATGCATGAGAGATGAAAATAATATTTAACCTCTTTACCAATACAATTATTGCTTTGAGAAAAATCATTCAAAAAAGATAATTTAAAAATCTAAATTATCTGTCTTTGCTGAGCTAGATATTATAAGATACTATAATATTAGTGCTGTTATTTTTCTGAAGTTAGTTCTTTATTAATTTTATTTTTGATAATTCCTTTCCCTGTGTCAACAGTAGAACATTCTTGGTCCAAATTAAGATTAATTAAAAATAATTTAGGGAACACAACTGAACAACAATGTTTAACAGCACCTCTCAGAATAGAAACTCAAGCAGTAGATAAAATGGAAATTGAAAAACATTCATGGTTTTGGCTCTTTCAGATCACAGAAGAGACTGAAGTTTGTTTATGTAACCAATGTAAACCCAGGAGCCAACATGGTCCAGTCTTGGCACTGGTTCAGA